CTTACCACACCTGATTTTGAGATACTTTGCGTAATTATTTTATGTTTATCACAAAGACTGATTATGCAATGGATGGTTGGTCTTTGTGTTAAAGTGAGTTTAAGCCATTATTAGATAAAATTACTAAATATTGTTTTTATTTTGTTTGATTAGACATTGAAAAATGATAAAGTTGTTTTCGTATAGAATTTTTGTATCTTTAGAAATTATTTGTTAGGTTTTATTTTCGTGTAGAAGGAACACCTGTGTATTAAGTGAATGGGAATTCATAGCATTTTGTTTACGCGATAAGACAAAAAACGCTCTATAGCTGGTCAACCTCAGAAAAGTGATCTTCAAACACAAAGCCCTGTTCAAGACATTGTTCATTTGCTTGAAACCCATTTGTACCCTAAGTGAAACATGTTGGTTGCCTAACACAGTTTCCTGTCTTTGTATCAAGACGGGCCGCACCTAAAATTGTCAAGCCAGTACTGCGGAAACATTGTTGCGTGTCCAAGTCCAACTCATTCGGGGCATACGGGACTATCAAGACTGGTCCACCCTAGGATCCACCTCAACAAAATATGTACACCTACTTCGAGTTGAAGACCATGTTTTCATCAAAGAACGACCTGTTCCGCCAAGCGAATTTTACGGAATCCTCGATCCGATTTTGGCCAACTGCATAATTTTCCACGGCTCTACCTTTGAAGAATGCAAGACAGTTTGTCTTGAAAGGTTGAAAAGAACGACTTGTAACTGAACACTTCAAAATGTTCGTTTTTCAAAACTCAAATTCAATATTTAGGGCACTGTGTCAAATATAACAAAATTTCGAAAAAGGGAACCTAAAAATCCCGATTCTTGGAAATGGTGGGAACCTATTATGCGAGGTCTTCCATTACTTACCCTCTGCGTCTTCACAAAGGAAGTCAATAGGTTTGGACCCAATAATGCCAAAGGGCATTCCAACAACTCAAAACAGAAACCATTAACGATCGACTTCCATTATGACCCATCGCTTCTAGTGCTTCTAGAGCACATGCAATCAACGACCTTCGTCTCAAATTTGACATAAATACCTTGCGTTTCCACCAAAGTCTATAGATACCTTTCTCTTATCAATAACAAATTGAAGTAAATTCAGTTATGTCAGGGACTCTGATCTACTCGAATTAAGGCAGGAAATTAAACAAGAACTAAATTATTTTAAAGAGGAAATTCGAAATGAATGAAATGTAATTATGCATTAAAACAATGAAGTACTTAAAGATTTGTTGCTTATAAACTGCAATGTGGATAGAATTCGAGATGTGTATAGGATTCGCAAAATTGCAAAGCATACATTTTATATGGATAAATTTATATAAATTATTTATATAAATTTTATATGGTAAATGTGACTGTTTGGGTGATGGATAACTTCACTTATCGCTGCGCTAATTTACAGGTGACTGATCCAACTTCGCTCACAGCTCAACACGAATGTCCTGGTGGTCTCAGAACAACAAACTTCCCACTGCTTTACTTTACTTTTCTTTATTGACATCCATCCCCCGAGGCAAACCTTTTCCACCCATCAACGAACCTCATCGATCCAATCAGATTCATTGATTCTTTCCGGTAACCAGAGACCATCCTGCCGCATCCCACGACTCACCGGCGTCTCACGTTTTCAAACGCAAACTCCTCGTCGATAAACAAACACCTGCGTTTACTTTCGGCGAGCACACCTGCTTATCTTAGCTTTTACAGAGCGATAACGGACGACTTATCGGCAAAGATAAACGTTTAAATTAACACAACTCAATTACTTCTGGATATCCCTAACTTTTTCAAATTAACAAGGCGATTATTTAAACAAAAACATCTAATAATTCTTAAACAAATGATACTGACTTTATGATATGATCCAATCTAAATTGGCGACCACATTTAACTTTAACAAAAATTTAAATTCAGCTCATACAGGGTGATCCATCATTACTCTAGGTGCTGATACCCATAAAAACGTACACATGATGTTTGTAAATGTGTGGTGGGTTAGGTTGGTAAAGCTGCCTTTGGCAGAAACCCCACTCACTTAAAAATATAGACCAGAAATAGATATATCTTCAAAATAAGATGTCTTTAAAGAAACTTGATGGTATCCAAAATTATAAAAAATTTGCTACCAATCTACGTACTTTAAATTTGTGGTCAGTGGTGTACTTCTGCATGGTCAAAGGGGGTATATTTTTTTGAAATAGCAACCATTAGTTTTCATTTCACATTGTAGCGGAAATCCCGATAGGCATCGAGGCGCCATGAAAGATAAGAGCGAAGGCGAATGTGACGCAATCCTTCCAGGAAAAATGACGCGTTTATTGTAGAACATTCCGAACCGTTTTAGAATAATTGGAAATTGTAGCGTATTTCAGTCTGTTCCAACTTCGATGCGCTTGAGTTATAAATTGTAAGTGATAAATAGCAATTACTGTTATAAATTAATTCATTTTATGACAAATTTATTTTTAATTAGATGTAATAACCAAAGCAGGTAATTAAATTGACGTTACACTGGTGGCAGGTGTCGGGTTGTGTTTAAGTGAACAATTAATGAAAGTTTATGCCAATAGTGACCAGATCTACGTCAGAAAATGAAACAGGGGACGTCGGGACGGGAGGTCGGATGTGGGTACCGACAAAGAGAATGTGGTAGCCGTCGACATGATTTTATTGATAATGGAGTCAAAACTGGATAATGCTGATCTGTCTTAAAAAAATGCGCTGAAGTCCCTTCGATCTCACTCACGACTAATAATTTTTTTAATTTTAAATTATATTTGTACACAAATACTGTGCGTATACTGTAACTACATGTGGCCCAAGTGTCGCTCCCACTAATTTACGCGTAAAATATTTGGCCCTTCTACAACAAAAGGTTGCCAACCCCTGGTGTAGATACCGAGATATACTTTGCAATTCAAAGGTGAAATCCAGAATTCCGAGGTCTTCTTGTCTTCGTAAGAGAAATGAAAAAATTTCAAAATAATAAATCGTTGGACGATTTTTATTTATAATTATTGTTTGATGGTCTCAATATAAAAGGCAAGAAATGTTTGAATTGAATTTTGAGCTTCTGAGGATCATCCCTGCTTGGTTAGAAACTAATTTGTGACATAATTTTAGATTCCAAAAATCGAGGGTGCCTTTGAAATTTCCAAAAAAGGTTTTTTGCATACGATTAATGTGCCCTTTGGGGACTAGTTAGGCACAAATGTTATTAAAAACGTTGCTTAGAATTATTTTTTTATTTTTTGACTGGATTTTTTGAGGAAATCCGAAAAAATGTTACTTAAAAAAATAGAATGTGATGACCGTGTAGCAAAATTGAAGCCGATACACTTCGATATTTTATTTAAAATACTTAAATATCAACTTCCTCTGAATTAAAAGTGCTACTAGTTACACTTCATTCTATTTCGAACAGTTTTTTTAAGTAACATTTTTTCGGATTTCTTTAAAAATCCGGTTTAAAATAAAAACATCGAAAAAATCAAAGTGGGCTTAGGACTTTTAAATTCAGCAAGTTTACTTAGTTTTTAATTCTGAGCATAACATTTATGCGTATCTCGTCTCCAAAGAGCACTTTACTGGTATGCAAAAAAAGGTATTTGAAATTAAAAGCGCCCATAATTTTTCGAAACTAAAATTGTCGCAAACTAGTTTCCAACCAAGCAGGACTGATCCCCATCAGAAGCTCAAAATTCGATTCGAAAATTTTTCCCAGCAATCGGGGGGGGGGGGGGCACTGTGTATGGGGTCACCATAAGGTAAGGGGTATACTTTAAAGTCGTATATAACTTGAAGAAATTAAACTGTAGTAGCAAAAAGTAAATGGAATCTAGTTGCCTGAATAATTGAATTTTAGTGTATCTATGGAAAACAAAAAAGTTGTTGTGTCGCAAATACTGATACAGTTGTCAGACGTAATCATCGCAACCTATAGAATTATTATGATAAAAAACGCTTTGTAAAATTTGAAGGAAAGGTTGGTAACCGTACATCAGCAAAATGGACGACATATCAAACATTTCCATTAACCACTGGTGGACATAAGAATTCCCATTATTTAAGAAATCGATTTCATTTCACATTCTGTTGTTAATCTGAAATATATCCCTTACTTTAGGATAACCTTGTAGTTCAGAAAAAGTTATTACGCATAGGTACAGTTTTAGGACTTCGCAATTCTCACTATTGATGGAAGTTATTTTCCTTACGATTATGAGAGCATTTAATGCGCAATGGAAAAGAGTTACTGTGGTGCCAAGGTAGGGTTGTGCTAAAATACTATTTGTTTCATTACAGGATTTCGGTTTAATATACCTAGAACTACATCCACTTAAAAAAAGTGTACATATTTGCGAATCACAAACGAGATATTCACATAAATAGTTGATTTCTGTGTCGTACTAATGGACCTATATGGCATGATATTGAAATAACTGCGCGTCTGGCTTTCGAGGCTTCTAAAATCTGAATGTCGGTTGAACCTAAAATTGAATACTGTTATTAAAGCTATGAAATTGAGAATGCAATTGTAATTTTCCATCCTATACTTGTGTTGGTTTATTGAAAGTGCCTAAATTATTGCGTCATTGATGAAATTTTGTTCTGCTAACATCGATTAAAAAATGATATTGTTAACGAAAAAGTTCGACTAATAGCATGGGTGTACTTTCATGAATTGCCAACTTTCACGTAAACTTTTTCATTTTATATAATATAAAAAGTCCTGGCAGTTGGCAACGTGATTAAGAATAGGGTTAAATTTATTAATGTAAAGTTTTGTTTTGTTAGCATTTTTAAATGAAAAGTGGGAAGAAAAGCGCAGACTTTTCCAAGGATAAAAATTTAATTCGTAGCCAATTTCTTCTGCGCGCCCCGCTTTTCGTCGGTTTAACTTGATCTGCGTCTGTAAACAGTAATTTATGTTTTTTTCTCTAAAGTTTTATTAACTTATCTGCTTTCAGGTTCTAAGTATCAATCTAATCTTAATGAAATCGATAAGTCGGAACAAAAATCCGGATCAGAAATCGACAGCAAAGGGGCGATTTATGAATGGCCTTCCTCCGAAGAGAGCTCTGCAGGTGAGTATTGAGTAACGCTATTAACTTAAATTGTCAAACAACAACAAAAAGTACAAGGAAACCGTCGCACCTCGAATAAACTTATTAAATTACATCCCTCGAGCACCTAATCTGAAAAGAGGTCAAAAAGCACAATGCAAACCAATCGCATTTACACAAAACATTTAATATGTAAATGACACCGGAGAAGACTCCAATTTTAAGATTGACCGTTTATTCTGGGCATATAAATGTAGTATGCGCGACTAGGGTACATAATTTAGAAAGGGGATGAAGTTCACGTGCTATCCTTTTTTCATTCGAATGTTCGGTTCTTTTACTAGAACTCGGCCCCTCGGGATTGACTTATCTGGCTACCAACCCATAACATATATAAGAGATCTGAAGTCGTATCATCGCCCCCAGATATATAATACATATACCTAGACTGCGTCGACTGCCGTGTCCCGACAAGATACTAACTTACTTTGGAAAGTTGCCCTCCTACCTTTCCAAGCCACCCCTATTGGGCTATGCAAATTTCACCTAAATATTTTTCAGGCCACGAAGAAGATTATATTAGATCTTTTAATGTAAAATTTCCCTTTCTTATGACAAGTAAAATCCCTAAAGCCGTATATTATTGCTGATACAGATGAGTTGCGCACTTATTTTAAACTCATTCGCTTTTTTTCAAAAAGAGAATTTGCACACATTCTCAAAAACGACAATTACATCATTCACATTTCTTAATGTACTTTTTCTCGGAAAAACGCGCTACCGAACAACAATTAGCTACGTTCTAAAAGCCTGCAATATAAATTGACGCACCGTCTGCATTTAATGTGCTTTCTTATACAACCATTAAATGTTGTTATCAAAACGCTGCCTTCCGTATTTTCATATGTCAATTTAAGCAAATTACTACTTACAAATTGTATACAATATTCCATTAATTCGCGCGCTCGTCGTTAGTGACTCTCTCGATTTACACAATACTAGAGACGCCTGAAATTTCCATCGTAGAGGTAGTAGTAGATATCGATTTTTGCCAGCAAATAACACGCTGTAACTCATAATGCGAAGACCAGCTGAAAAGGTTTTTGCCAGTATGATTTTAATTAATTTTAGAGTCTGGTAATTTACAACCCTTAGGAAGCGGGTGTTTTCTATTTAACTTTTTCACTTTCTTTAGCATGGGGAAGACATTAAGTTAAAATTTTCACGTATTGGGTCCGGTAATAGAAAACCAACTGATTGGGGTTTGAGATTTTTGAAACCGATTTTCACCTCCCAATCTCAAGGTGGTTTATAATTTTTGTCGTTTCATGATCATGCTGCTTAACAGCAATCCGTCGGCATTTGGAGGATTGCTGCCCCACTCACTTTCTTGAAAAGTAACTAGGGAGGGCGTGAGATTTCTTCCATTTTTGTCATTTTTGTCATTCTGCACTGAGAAAAAAGTTTAGTTACAGTAAACAAATTTTATTTTGGGTTAACAAATATTAAGTTCAAATGTCAACAAACAAATAAAATGTTTTTGTTACCAAATGGTTTACTCAATTATGGTGAGTAAAGGTAACTTAACACCTAAAAATAGTATTTTTACCATAAGCAATAAATGATTGAAATTAATCCTACATATTTGTTTGAAGATAATGCTATTCTTTAACTGTTAACATATAATTGTTATACCCTAAGCCTCGCTCTGTTTGATAGTAATGTGGTATAATAACTATAAATTTGATATTTACTAGCTATTAAAGAAGGCAAAATTGGTATTAAATTTTGATTAATAATGATAATGGAATATGTTGATAATATAGATCTAATGGTATTTTATTATTAAGAAACGTTTTGTATTAATTCCGGTATAAATGATACTTACCACAATTTCTTTACTAATCACAAAGTGATTTAAGAATTATGCACTTGATGGGTACAAAATATTTATTAACTTTAAACATATTTAACACATATTGCCCACCAGCAACCAAATGTATGTTGAACGTGTTCAATATATAACCACACCTATCAGGATGTATAGTATATTAGTAATAACATTACAAAATAAAAACACACCTTTATCTTCTGTAGAAAATATACTTTACAATCCCAACTATACCTACAGGTAATTCACCGTCATCCTCTGGGTCTAGAAGTATCAACGCGCAACCAATTGTGAAATTCACTCCATTAAATTTAAACGACTCAACTTCGAAAAGGGATCCTCAATTCGGTACGCGATCTTTTAATAAAATTCTATGGGTTTCATCCATTGTGTTTTTTTTTCCAAATTCTAAAAATAAAATGAGGATGTAATTTTCAATGAACTCGTATACCAAGACAACATTCATTACCAAAAACAAAATTTATTTCTGGACTGGACTGGATGCACCTGAATTGTTAGTCCTCATATTTTCTGTTGTCCATACATGTTTTGTTTGTGATTTGACGTTTCTGTAATTGTTATTTACAATTTTTAGAATTAAAGATTATTATTATGGTCGGTGTTTCTTGTGAGAACTCAGGTCTAGCCTGGTTAACTAATCGCACGGATTAAAATCAAGTAACGATTAGTGTCTGTGTCTGGTGAAGTTATGTAGGGTTCTAAAGAAAAAAAAAAAAAAAAAATATTCACACACTCGCATTGGAAATCTACGGATAGTATGTAATTCATACTTACCAGCATAGCTATTAATGGCCACAATAGTCAACGCTATCAGGAAAGAAGAAAACAAAACAAAAATATCATTATAATAATTCCTGTAATTTTATTAAATAGACTTTATTGTGTAAGTGTTTCTTTGGCTTTGCGTTTGGGTTGAATACGAGTGGGTTGTGATAACGTGGTGTGTTTATGTGAAGAAGGAGTTTTGTGTTTTTTAAGTGTGCTAGGGCGTGTAACTTTATTGGGTGGACCTGTCTTTGTAGTGCATGTTGCGTTACTTGTATTTATGGTGTTTCTTTGTTCCTGAGGTCGTATTTGTGAGGTTGTTTGGGTTTTTGGTGGAGATATTGCAGTATTTTGTGAGCCTGTGGTGCTGTTAAGGTTTTTGCGCTTCGGTTGTATACGAGTGGATTGTGACAATGTGGTGTGTTTCTGTGAAGAAGGAGTTTTGTGTTTTTTAATTGTGCTAGGACGTGTAACTTATTATTATTATTATTATTATTATTTCCCAAGTAAAACAACCAAAACTTCAATTTTTTTTGGCAAACCAAAAAGTAAAAAATTAAAACAATATAGCAAACGAGCTCCTAGTATGCTCACTTTGTGTTTTCTGGTAGGAATGATGACATAGGTACCATCATTATTAATTATTATTAATCAATTTATGCAAAAGAGTACTACTACACTACTTTAGAAACTAATATGGCTAATATGGGTACTCACTTACCTACAAGCACTTCGGAAAATAGCGCTAAACCCGCGCGCCGCCTCATTTTCACTAGATTCCATATTAGTCCATATTTCTAACGTAAAATTGAAACACCACAGATGTGATTTGTTGGATTTCGAGAAACAAATGAAAGTCACATTCACAATGCACGTTACTGTTTTATAATATCAGCCCTGTAGCCGCACTAATTAATGACTAATTCAATTAGGTAACTACGCTGTATGCTTGAAATCAAGATAAAAAATAAGACAAGATGTCAACACATCAACTTCGCTGTATGCAGTACCTACTTTATAAGTGTAAAGTAATAAGTTGAGCATTCTTTATTGTTAGAAAGTATCATGTCATTTTAGACTTGGAAGCGGTAATCCTAAAGGTGATTTGTTTAATACTATGCCTGTATATTAATATCTAAAATACAGACAGATACTATATGATTTTCTATATATTAAAGAATGTCTATCTTATTGTTTAATAAACGATCTTAAAAGTTAAAAACGGTAGGTAACGATAAGTAAATGTGGCCTAAACAAATTGATTTGTTAAATTTAAACAATACTTTTCGCTCAGTGTGGTTGTTTACCAACTGTCCACGACTTTCAACGATGGATGAGCGAGAAAACCGGTATCGGCCAGTCGCCATCAATCGAGATCAATGTCAGGAGGTAAAATCCAGTGGGAAACTGTATACCAGGTCCAAGGGCAAGAAACACTGCGCAGCATCAAAACCAAAACTCCACAACTAAGTAAACCTCCATGACACATATAACAACGCAAGAGGGGGGGGGGGACATTTAATGCAATACTTTAATTACCAGAACAATCAAATTCAATTCAGGGTTGCTTCTCTTAGTCATACGAGAATAGCTGTAGGGACTTCGTCGATTACAAGGAAGGAAAAAAGAGATATTGACAACCTTCCAGGATAACTTTCTTACTTCGTCTTCAATTAACAATTTTACATTACAATAGTTTTCAACCTTCAACCACCGATATTTAAAATATTGTACCACCACCTTTCAAGGGCTCACGGTACGTAGAATATGGATAGAGCTCAGGCGCCTGCTAGTTTGGCCAGTACGTATAAGTATAACCTGTCTAATTATCTAACACAGGGGTATAATATTTGCGGGCAGGGTAGAGTTTCGAGACCCATCGCATAACAAGAACAAAGCAATCTCGAAGGGTTAATTCTATGGACCTCACTCAAAACTATTTGATGCTCCTTTCAAAGAAATCAGTAAAATCTGAGAAAACCATTCACGAAACCGACGGAATCGCTTTATACAGTTCAAGGGAAATGGTTCTCATTCACATACCTTGTCCGTTTCTATAAATCGCATCAGTAGCAGTCACACCAGGGGGGCCAGAGAGTTTGCCCCTCTTATTTTGGCTCGAAAACCAATCATGCTACATTTCAATCAAACGTATTATCAATTACTAGTTAATAAACATTAGGGCAATGCAAGAACAAATTCAATAAAATTTTACGCAGACAGAAACCTTCAATCCATCGCACAAGGCAACAACAAAATCGTAATTAAATTCAAAGTCGCCCTTCTGTATGTTAAAATGTAAAATTCTACAACGTGGAAAAGTTCCACTCAAAGAAAGACTTTA